AAGACCTTTTTGAGAACAAAACAAAAGCAGTAAAGACTTTCCCAATTAGAAAATGCAGCACTTCAAAAGTTTTGTTTCTTAACCAAACGCCGCAACTTCTAATAGAGTGATGATATACTTCAAAGAATGTAGCCTGAATCAATGGAGAAGGTGCTGTGTAAGTATTCATAGCGAGATATTATTCAATGCAGGCTTTGAAAAGGAGACATTTGAACTGTTAAAGACTTTATACAGCCAATCACAGCAAAACCTTTTTGAGTATTATTTATTTGATAGGAATAAGACTATATTTATTGACATTTAGGGAGATATATAATAAAGACTGACTATGATAGGCATATCATTAAATATATTTCACTATATAAGCAATTCTGAAAACATTGTAATAGTCTCTAATAGCCTACTTGCTAGTTTGTAATATTTCGTACGGTGTCATCCCAATAGAAATGAAATAAAGTGTGATGTTATTGATGCCCCAAAATCTGAAAGCTCTTCAGAAAGTACATAACCAAAAATTAGGGTTATCACAATCAATAGGGGAAAGAATTCATATAGTTTAGTTTGTACAGCATTTGCTTTGCCTATACTGATACATACGGTTATGATGATACAAAAAAAAATATCTACACACCCTATTGACAGGATTTACTGCATGTAAGAGCAGCTCATAAGAAATAAAAATACATTTACAAATGCATATCAGAACGGTTGAATCATCATTCAAATCATTTCAAACTTGCAAGTTCCTTTATAATTTCAGAATGATGAGGGCACTATTATTATGCCTAATCCAAAATAATAACTGCACATGCAAAAAGCCATTCTGATCGAGAAGGGGGGAGTGGTCACAACCTACGACTACAGATTCACAATGAAAAGTGGTCCGGTTTGGAGTCTGACAGGTTAAATAAGAATGTGCTGTCTAAGGTGAAGCTTAATATTAAGAACCACTGTGAATCGTTTCTGCTTCTTCTTCTTCTTCTTTTCCAGTAATTATGTGGTGTTGTTAAATAGTTGCAGTTCAACAGCTTCTCTTGCTTCTTTTTGGTTGTGCATGCTGGGAAATTATTTTACAGAGCATTATTAACCTTTGAACAGCCTGTGTAGATAAAATATAACAGAGCCACTTGTACTACAGAGATTTTTAGTGAGGACTACAGCTGGTGTTTAATGTAATGCTGTACAATGACACTAGTTTATTTTTCCAAACATATTTCTCTTACCCAACATAAAGTATCTAATGCACAAATACCAGATAAATGCTCATATGTTTACACACCCCAAGCAGAGTCTGTTTAGAAGGTGCTTAGCATTTAAAAAAAAAAAAAAAAAAAAAGGATTTTTATTTTTAGTACTGCCCTGAAGATGCCATATATGAAATAATTTACACAAATAATTTATTCCGTTCAGAAGTTTGCATACCTTTAGTTCGTAACACTGTGTTTTCTCCTCAAGTGTCAATGATTGTTTGCAGCCTTTTGTGAAAGCTGCATGAGTCCCTCGATTGTCCCGAGTGTCAGAGCTGGAGATCAACATCGTATAGCCACTGTGGGGAAGAACTCAAATGTGCAGAGCATGCTGGGAAATCAAAGAACTTAGGATGTTTGTCAAGAACAGTGGGCTGCTTCAGCTCAGAGGACAAACCAGAGACTCAAAACACATCACATAAGATACAAGCGGTCATTGACACTCGACGAGGAAACACATGAATTTAAACAAGGGCATGTGAACAGTTTTGTCTTGTGGAATATTAAGGCGGGACACTCCAGGTGAATACGGTAAAAAACTAACTAATAGATCTAATAGATTAACTAATATATTTATCCAGTTGATTCTATTTTTTTTCAAGTTTTTTTTAAATGTTGTGTTGAAATATGCAAATCTGCATACATTTCCAGAACATAAATCTAAACACTGGATAGAGCCAAATTAAATTTTATATTAGAGTTGAAATTTTACAGAGGGGTGTTTTTATTATTTTTTTTTTTTTTTCAATCCATAAGTCAGAAAAACAACTATTCATTTCACCACGTTTTTAGGAAAAAATAAACTGTTATAGAACAAGGTGAATGATATATCAGCAAATCTGTATCTGTAACAGCTCAGAATATAGATAGGAATAAAACTGTAACGTACAGTAGACAAATTGAGAAAACAGCCTTTAAAGATATTATAATTGAAATCTACAGATGCAAATAGATAAAGTGCAATGCAATAAATCCTTAAATGTGTGGTGCACGCTTTCTTTCCATTAGTCTGAAACTACGCACTACGTAAGGCCTAAAATCTCAAAATTGACCAGTGCATGAAAAAAACAAAACAAAACAGTGTTTTCATCTGAAGTGTCTCACCTCGTTTAAAAAAAACCTGTGAGGTATGTACTAAAAATAAAATAAAATGCAATTTAAAACTTCTGAGGGGTTTGCAAACTTTTGAGCTGAACTGTACCTTGCATTCCCATAACGGATATATTTGCATTTTTAGTCTTGTTGATATTTTTGAGGGGTTTTTTTTTATGCGCCCTGTTAGGCAAACAGTATATATACCCTTATATGTTCTGACATAGCAGATAGCGAAGCTGCACGTATTTATCTATAACCGCTGCAGCATCCATTCCATAGAATCATCAGAGAACATACACGTGATGCACTTAAGCAATTATAATGCCTTTCAGTATAGTACAAAGGGCAAATAATGTATTTGAATGTAAAAATGGCCACCCAACCAATGTCTAATTTTGCCTTTTGTTTCTTTATCAAAAGTGAGCTTTAAGTTGAATTTCATGGCTAGAGAAATACCACCATATCTGTTTAGGTTCTTAGCATTTATACAAAGCAACTTAAAAGGGAACTTAAAATGTCTTATAGCTGTTTCGTAAGATTCTATTTTGCTAACATGCATTATTATTTCATAGAGGAAGAGGTCAGTATCTGGATGTTATTTATGAATATCTTTAATGAAGCAAACGTATTTATAAGTAACTTCAAGACGTTTTGTTTTTTAATTAATAAATTAAAAAGTTAATATATTTGTAAAACGCATGAAGTTGATTTCTACTAAAATTATTAAAACTATAGAATTTTTATTTATGAAAGTTAGAAAAATCCACACTTCTGACAGCATAAAACAAGTGGGGTGGGGTTTCAAAGGCTTATATTTTAAAACGTCAGATACGTAACGTGTGCATTAACAATGGGATAACGGCAGAAATATTTTATAGCATTCAGGGGTATTTTAGTCACTTCAACTTTGTGCCTCAATACCGCGTTTTTGCATACTAGAAGCGCTCAGAAGTGTTGTGTACTCGTCCTTTACTGAGTGAATAAAGGGTCCCTTCCTTTTTTTTATATATTAAATTGCTTTGGTTTTAAATGCAATTGTTATAAAGCGATAACAGGCTGAAGTATAACAGGGTGAAACAGAAAAATGATTGTGCATAGTACACGCATACAGTAGTAATAATTCAAGCAAAAATCAACTACATGTAACGTCGTTCCGATTTCCAATCGTTTAAAAATATGCATGACAAAACTTAAAAAAACAAAACAAACAAACAGTTTTTTCCACAAATCAGATGTTCCGTTATCATATTTGTTTGCAGATATGTGAACAGAACGCAGATTTCGAGCACATTCACAGTAATACCGTTATTTGCATGTAACTTCTATCAACCTGTTTTGTCACATACAAAATGAGGCTTATGTACAAACTACACTCAAGGGCTGATGACTGCGTTTCATTATTACCGAGAGTGTCTCAAACATGTCAAAGCGGTGAACTATTGTTTACAAGATTACACGCAGAAGCATAGTCTCAGTACTTCATGGTGAACACGCATCTCGACTTTATTTTGGCTCTGTGGTGGCAATGATAGTTGTGTAGTGGTTTCAATTTCAGTCAGACAGGAACATGGGGGGGTGTTTAGGACGGTCACTGACGTGACCTCGCTTGGGATGAGTTACTCCGGTCCGACAGTCTGTATTTGGTAGCTTCCAGCACAGTAGAAGTGTTTCATACAGCTCTCATAGTGGTCTTAGTGCATTAGTTTGGTCAAGCATCTCCTGGTACTAGTGTTCAGTTTATTGTTGATAAACGAGGGGGTTTGCCATATCATAGACGAGGCTAGCCGATACTCCACGAGTCGTTTTGATTTCATAATTCAGTATCGTGTCTACACGGGGCACGGAAACTGCAGGTTTTTTCCTTAGAACATGTTCTTTGTGACTTTCATTTTTGATATTTGATGATCAATGTATCTATGCCATACTACACTCTAAAAAATGCTGGGTTGTTTCAACCCAATGTTGGGTCAAATATGGACTAACCCAACTGTTGGGTTAAAAAGTTAATTTAAAAATGTAACCAAAATTTAACCCAACAGTTGGATTAGTCCATATTTAACCCAACATTGGGTTGAAACAACCCAGCATTTTTTAGAGTGTAGTTTTGATCTTTTGGTTATTTTCGAGAAATTGTATTGTAAATGTTTCTAATAAAACAAACTGAATAATCTGTCACTGCTACCCTGAATTCTGTTGCTCGCACACCTGATGATTTGAAACAAAACTGATTTTATTTATATATGTTATTAAAATACACAGTAAATTCCACAAGTTAACAAAAAAAAGGATAAAAATCACCAAAAAGTTTAAAAACAGAAGCGTTCATGGGTTCCCACGGTCACGGAAGTATCAGGGAATTTTAAAATCGCCTGGAAAAAGTCATGGAAATTAATAACATTTCAAAAAAGCTCATAAATATTTAATCAACTAGAAATTGCTCTTTGTGGGTGCAATCTCTATACGATGAATTTTCCTTATCAATGAACTCAAGAATTCAATGAATTCAAGAACGACTGGAAAGGTCATGTGGGAGTCACTGGTCAAAAGATGTGAAATACACAAGTTTCCAAGTGTCTACGTAAAATCTATTCACCCAAGTTTAAAAAAACCCAACAGCTGATTAACATTCATGATGATCACTGAAAACGTATAAACCTATTTGCAGTATTCAGAGCCTTTATTTAGGAGTCCCACTGGGAAAAGAACAGGCACGATGACAGAATCTTCCCAAAACAGTAATTATCAACGACTCCAGCTAAACGGCTGATATTCAAAATAACAGATTGATGGCATTAGCATAAATCTTACAGGCAAGGCATTTAGGGAAGCACCTCGTGTCTTTAAACAAATGACAAGACATGAAGCCGAAAACACGACCCCAGCTGTCCCGTCCTGAGGCGAGGAGGATCTAAACGCCACAGAACACATATGCAAAGATAAAACCACACCAAAAGCCATAGAAGACAGAAAAGCCAGGACAGAGAGTGAGATCTCAAGAGACCTGCTGCTCTTCGGGTTACATGTAGCAGATAACAAGGGTGGCCAGCGAGGAATTCACTTCCAGTAAGAAAACCTCAGCAGTACATCACAAGCCATCAGTTCCCCTGCCTTGCAATATAATATGGTCAATGTACCCAATCATAGAAGCTCCTCTTAGTGAACTGCATACCACCTGCCGCTCATTTTCCAAGCAGAAAAAAAGCTATTAGCCAAAGACAACACCCAGAAACCAGCTAAAGCAAAACTAATCATGCAAATTTCCATCATAATAAAGTCATAAAGCAGACAAAAAAAAACATCTGACCCGCATCTGTGCTCCAAGTAGGGATGGGAATCGTAGGGATTTAAAGAAATAGTTCACACAAAATCAAAAATTGTGTCCTAATTTGAGTAAATTATATGACGATATGATTGGATGAACTATTTCCTTATGATTCTGGCATCTTACTTCAGTTTTAGTAATTTGAAGTAAAAATTAAAGAATGTTTGAAACATGGAACAAATCATATCATAAATATAATAATAACAACAATAATAATAAATTATCATATAATTTTTAGGGGAGAAAAAGCACCACGCAAGTGACAAGTATACCACAAATGGTGTTTTTTTATACTTTTAAATGATTGGTAACAAAAAAAAAAATATGCCTGAAAGTTCAATGCTGATTTTAATGCACAGCTGAGAATAAATAAGTTGCATCATCATCACAACAAAAACTTTAAAGTGGTTCTATTTTGCATATTTTCATTATGCATAAAATAGCAGAGATTTAGAATGCATAAGTTCAAGAACCGTTAACCGAATCAAGTGTCATAGAAATAATCAGATAATTTAAGAACTAGTCAACGATTCCCAACCCTAAATCTGAATATACTATACTCTTATTAACACTACAGCACATACAGCCATTAACTTAACCTATTAACATTACTCTGATCCACAGAAAACACTCCCAGCGCTTGTACAAACGAGTGCCATGACTGGAAGGAGAAACCCTTGAGAAATTCCGATCAATAATCTAGTGATGGATAAAAGCATGACAAAAAAAAACACCACAGAATAACAAGATCATGTTTGCATTCAATAAATACAAGAGATGCCGTTGCAATGTAAGAATTGAGCGAACTATGATGACCGCAGTTTGAATTTCTCAGGTGTTGAGATGCATGGAAAAGATGTCAGACTACTTCTGCGCTGGCACACTAAAGGAAAAAAAAATATGATTTCACAAGTGAATCCCCATTGTGATCAGAAACCATTCAAGAGGTACTTATAAGAAGCATTATGCATTCCAAGCACTTTTTCTTGTTCTTCAGCCCATTGTTTGTAAGCAGACTCTGTGGCAAAAAGTGCAGGAATAAAATAAAAAAAGCAGCCACGTCTGAGCGTCCCAGCTAACTGCTCATTTCTAATTAGTCTGAAACAAGAAGCATGGCCTCTCAGTTCTGAGAAAATCCTTGATCCATTCAATTTCAACATCTCTTGTTCTCCAATTTTGAAGATTATTACTCACTTATTCTGGGCATAACTAAGCAAGTCCGTTACATATGTTAAGTACATCACGCGCAGGGAATACAACGGTCATGGTCAACCTTCCAGCCCAGCCCAACAAAATGTTCCCAGGATCCCATGGTGGCGCTGCGGCAGCTCAGTTATTCTGACAGCAGGCGCCCTGCTTGCCCGAATTCTGTGTGGGCTGCACGGTAATGGGAACCACTTTTGAGCTAGGGGAGAAGCCGTCATCACCACGCCCTGACATCTGCCTCTGGGACACGATACGGTAGATTTCTGTGTGAGAGAGAGGCAGGATTCATACATCGGCATGATGGAGGGTTGCCTGATAAACGTGCTCTTTCAGGTGTGTTACTGACAGCGCAACAACTTCAGCTACGCTTCATTATGACGCCTAGAAATGAACAGTGTAACTGTGTAACACGGTGTGGCTGAAGAGAGGTATTTCCCAGGCCAAACAAAAAAAGAAAAACTGCAAAAAAGCAAACCACTATTTCTGCGTGGCAAACTTTCGAAGTTTGACCTCAAAACACTGTTTCATTCATTCACAGGAAAAGCAGAGGATATCTGTGGCGTGGAGTTTGACGCCATCTAGAGGTTATACTTAATAATAACACACAAAAACACCCTGGAATGTCACAAAACGGTCAAGAAATGTCTTGTGTAAAATAGACAGATTTTTTCCTTGAAAAGAAAAGGAGTATGCTGTTTTTTTAGGTCACTTTTAATTAAGCAGATTCTCCCAACCCCAAAAACTCTCATTACATCTGACATATATCTGACAAAATAATTATATTATTTAAATTATTTTTAAAGTAATTGTATTTATGCTTTATTTTGGGGTGTTTTTTTACTGTAACACAAGAATTGGCTTTTCACATTAGTTTTTTCAAATATTTAAAAGAATAGCTAAAAAAAAAATAAAGGTCATAATTTGCATGATTTCAGTAAATCATATGACAATTTTGATTTCTGGATGAACTTTCTTTATGTTTCTGGTTCCCTTAATTTTTTTTATTAGTAATTTCAAAGGGGAAAAAAAACTATATTCTGTTCTTTACCCTTACAAATCTGTTCTGTAATAAATCATAAATTAAAGGTATAGTTCGCCCAAAAATGAAAATTTGATGTTTATCTGCTTACCCCAGGGCATCCAAGATGTAGGTGACTTTGTTTCTTCAGTAGAACACAAACGGAGATTTTTAACTCCAGCCGTTGCAGTCTATCAGTCGTATAATGCATGGCAATGGTAACAAAATCTATGAGAGTAAAAAAAACATGCACAGACAAATCCAAATTAAACCCTGCGGCTCGTGACGATACATTGATGGCCTAACACCCGAAACGATCGGTTTGTGCGAGAAACCGAACAGTATTTATATCATATTTTACCTCTAATACACCACTATGTCCAACTGCTTTGAGCGCACGCACGGCATCTGGTGCATGAGGTGTGTACGTGCTCTGGCGTAGTTTATGCAAGCACCGGAAGTGATCTCTCACGCGTATACGTCACTCATTGTTTACACAGTGCACAGTCATTGTAGGTACGACGGCTAATCAAAATGGTACTCACTTGCGCTTATCCGGATTGTTCAAAACATCAAATTTTCATTTTTGGGTGAACTATCCCTTTAATAATATATAACAAAAAACAACAACAATAATCATTTTGTTTCGTTTTTGGAAAGCATAAAATTTCAATCACATACCACAAACGGTGCAATTCAATTTTGTAGCAGTGGGAAACAAATCAGGTGCCTGAGCGGTTTTTTTTTTTTTGCTGATGCATATATTGTACAGATATTTAGAATGCATAAGTTGAGCAAAATTGAATGTCAGAAACGTCCAGTTAATAAATAAACAACTAGATCACATTCCGCTCTAAAATTAAAAATTCACAATATTTGAAAAAGTTTTTTATATACTAAATTATGCATAAATACTTTGCTATTTAAATACTATTCTTGTCATTACAGTAATGAGAATGAGAATGTTCTTAATAAAAAATGACTGGTACATGTTCTTCACAGTTTTCATGATTCACCTCCAAAAGCTTTGTGATATTCACCCTTCTAAATGATTTGCTCAGGACTGACCTGTAAGAATGGTCTGAAAGGCAAGTTCAACATTAGAAGAGTCCAGCGCTGAGGTCTCCAGGAAAGAAAGTCCATGCTTCTCTGTAAAATCACACACAAAAATTAAGAAATCAGGAAGGGGGCCAACACTTTTTCACACCACTGTAAATGAGTAATGCTAAATCAACATTGCCTAAAAATAGTTTACATGATGCCCCATCATTTTATTAACAGTACTGCTCTAAAAGGTTACAATGTAGCGTTCAACTTCTCAGAGCCCAAAGAAATTAAAATACAAACATATTCATTCCTGACCATGTGGCTAAAAATCTGAGACATTCAAACTGACCAATCAGCATCAAGACCTGTAATGTAAACACCTCAGCCAACAGGCCTTGAACACTACCAGCACAGCACCTCTGTGACCTTTAAAGGTATTCCAAATGACCTTTGGCGATTTAAAAATTATTTAGTTAACTCAACTTTACAAGCTGCCTTCACAAAAGTGGCATATTAGGTCTCATTTTTACAGTGAAATATTTAGTATTCTGACTCCTTAATATAAATCTTGGTAAATTATATGAACAAGTCTAGTGTTTTTAGGTGTCATTCTATACATTTGATTTGCCAGAAAAGCATCACTTACAGAAACTCTTGAGTAATTACAGTTCACACTAGCTAATAAAGTCACAACACTAACCTGCAAACGCTTTGGCTTCATCCATAGGAACGGCCCTCAGATGGCGCAGGTCACTTTTGTTCCCTACTAACATGATGACAATATTGCTGTCAGCATGATCCTGCAGCTCTGTCAGCCAGCGCTCGGCGTTCTCATAGGTCAGATGCTTGGCAATGTCATACACCAGCAGGGCTCCTACGGCACCTCTGTAATACCTGTGAACACACACACAGACGTTTGAAAGATGCAGTCATTATTCAGAAACTAAAAGCACAAACAACACATTTATTCCACAATCTAAGGTGCCCAATAATAGTCTGATTACCAAGGAGTATTTGGCTGGTCATGTGAAATAAAACTACTGTTATTAAAGTCGTTATCTTATTTGAGTGTACATCATTAGGGGCCAAACGGTGTTGTTTTTTTTTTTATTATTCAAATACTTCCCACTTGACGGGAGTCTACATCCTCCCATTGTACTATACAGTAAAAAGGTAAGCTCAAATGATTAGAAATCTGGCACAATTATCCACCTTATATTTTTAACATAAGAGGGGGCACAGCCATTTTTAACTTCAATGTGCGAGGTTTCCAGTGTCAGTTGCTTCCAGTAATTTTAACTATGCAAAAAAAAAACTATATTGTTTTAATTTATTATCATAATCCTAAAAGCAAATGGTTTTTAAAATTCACTGCACTTTGTTATTCTTCTAGTTAATTCACGCATTTATTTACACGCATGTATTTATTTATATATTGTTATTATTAATTTAATAAAGTACAATATTTAAAACTTTTTGCACATATCTAGTCAGGGACAGAGTGCAAGCATGTGCATCTAACATAATTCTGTATTTTTAGCTAAGAAGAATGACTATTTCTATTCTGGTTAATGAACAGTACTTTTCGTTAACTGATTATCATATGTCTTAGAAGAAATAATTTTAAAAACCTTACTATTTTAACTCTATTTTGGCTTTGTTTAAAGTATTGTGAGAGTATTGTATTGTAAGATCAATATCGTCTATCAAGTCACGACAAAATTGTATTTTTTACATGCCCAATACATTGTTTTTAACCGAAAGGGCGTAGAAACTTAATTTTTTTGTTTAACATGAGAATTAATTAAAATGATTCTGATTACATTTTTTCCAAGCACATTAAAAAAAATTCCAAGCCACATCAATCTTAATAATTGTACCTGTAAAAGAAAACCTGCTTAATAATTATGCATATCTGAATAAAAACCATTTTTTTTACTTCCAGTTCTTGTTAACAACTATAAATCAGTTATAAATGACTATATGCAAAATTAATAGTAGTTATTAAGGTTGACTGATGGATTGGTTTGAAATTGGTGAAATGTGCTTGGAAAAAAACAATACAATAAGAATATTAATATGCCTAATAATTATGCACGCACTGTAGTTTATATTTATTCTATTCTATTTATTTTAGTAATTTAATTAAATTTTTATTTTATAGTTACATTTATTAATTACATTTTTAAAAACTGGTGCACAAAACAATTGGACTTCTTAAATTAGTTGATGTCTTAACAGAGTCTTTGAAGACACTTACGCTGATGTGATGGCCCTGTATCTCTCCTGTCCAGCCGTATCCCAGATCTGGGCCTTGACGTTCTTGCCCTCCACATGGATGCTGCGTGTGGCAAACTCCACCCCGATGGTGCTCTTGCTCTCCAGGTTGAACTCATTGCGGGTGAAGCGAGAGAGCAGGTTACTCTTGCCCACACCGGAGTCGCCGATCAGAACCACTGTGGATGAAGAGGACACGGGTGTGTGAGATCAACCGGCTCTACTTTATGGTGCTTTTAAATGCTATTGTATTTGCTGGAGACACATGACACTGTGAGAACACTTTCAAGCAGATTCCATTTGTGCGCTTGCAGGAACCGGCCTCCCTTCACCGCACAACAGCAATTAGATTTGAATATTTCACACACAAAGGGTGTTTCCACAAAGCTTTCGACAATGAATGAAAAGGGCACGACTGAAGAGCAACTCCCTTTTTCACCCACACAGGTAGACTTACGAAATATTGGGAGCGTCTGTGTCTCCCGCTGACAGAGGCAAAAATAAAACAGATATTACTGAGAAATTACATTTACAGTTACACTACCGTTCAGGTAGTTTGGGGTCGGTAAGATTTTTTTTTTAAAGAAATTAATACTTTTATTCAGCAAGGATGCATGAAATTGATCAAAAGCGACAATAAAGACATTTACAATATTACAAAAGATTTCTATTTCAAATAAATGCTGATCTTTTGAACTTTCTATTCATAAAAGGATCCTGAAAAATGTATTACAGTTTCTACAAAAAAAAATATTAAACAGCAAAACTTTTAATATTGCTAATAATAAATGTTTCTTGAGCAGCAAATCAGAATATTAGAATGATTTCTAAAGGATCGTGCCATAATAAAGACTGGAGTAATGGCTGCTGAAAATTCAGCTTTGCATCATAAATTACATTTTAAAATATTATATTCAGAAGTTATTTTAAAATTGTTATAATATTTCACAATATTACTGATCTTACTGTTTTTTTTTTTTTTTTCAAATAAATGCAGTCTTGGTGAGCAGAAGAGACTTAAAAATAAAAGTAGTTTATTTTTCACACAGTACTGTGTGAATTGTTTTTAATCTTTTTTTTTTATTAAATCAGTACAGTCTAGGTGGGCATACTGTAAGAGATAAGAGGAACACTTTCATGTAAAATAATAAAAGATGCTTCAAGCACATCAAATCTCATTTATTTTAATTTTTTGAATGTGAAAGTGAATACGATTTCAAAGCTTTTGAGGACAGAAAGATTATGACTTAAATTCCAGTCTATTCATCACACAAAGATGTTGTGTGACTTCAGAAAAACACTTGGAACACGACATGAAGGTGATTAAACAATTACAATTACAATTTTTATTCAACCTAAACCTGAAATAAATTGGGTTAATGTTGCCAAAATTCGACAGCATGAAAGAATTAAATCTATAACAGATGCCTCAGCTAATAATATCCGAGTTAGGCACACAGGAATGCACTTTGACAAAGACGTCTGCTTGTTTTAAAGCTGGTGGACACAGACATGTTTAAAGAGCAGAGCGGTGATTGAACAGCACTGACTGATTCATGGTCAAACAGCGAAAGGTCCACGGACAGCTTAAACACACGGAGGTCAAGAGCAGAACTCTGACTAATGGAAGTGTCAAATTCATGGACATAACCACCGCAGACATCAAAGAGGTCAGATTAGTAAAAATAATATCATTAGTATTCGCTTTAGTAGTCAATTACTAAAGGAAATTCTCAAACGTTTACATTTGATCTCCTTCAATCTCGAATAATTGGCTATATATCAAAATAGAACAAATGAATGATCTGAGTGATGATCTGATTTAAATGAGATTTGATTCATTAGATCAAAGGAGAGTTTTTAAAACCTGAATGCAAACCCATCCTGAGAAGGACCGGATTTATACAGGTCTTACCGGTTTAACTGTGCTTATATTGCAGACACCATAGAAGGAAAATTCTAAATGAATTTCCACAGAAATACTTTTTTTCCATTTTCTGTGTGGCAAGTGCATTAAATTGTCCAAATTGTTTGTTTCCACAGCATAAGTTCAAATGTATTATATATATATA